CTCTGCTGCCACCAAATGTAGAGGCGTACTTATTACCTTCCACCGTACAACCCCCTTTACACTGCACAACAAGATAAAAGACCCTGAAAGGCGGTATCTCCTACTAACAGGGCTACTACTAGATGCAGATTGCACTATTGTTGCTTATGCACCAAACCAAAGTCCACAACCGTTCCTCTCCCACCTGTTGTCGGTCATTGACCAACATAAACGAGGTACCCTATTTATCTGTGGGGACTCTAATTGCACTCTCTATCCCTTCCTCGACACACCCCCCAACCTCCCTCTCCCGCCAGCCTCCAAACAAAACCTCCAGACTCTTTTACAACGTTACTCTCTGGTTGACACCTGGAGAGAACTTAATCTGATGAAACGTCAATATACATTCTACTCCCACCCACACAAGTCATTAACGATAACCTACTATCTCACCCATCGCACTGTGCAGATATTGAATCTGCCCTTAAAGACTACCTATCTTTAAACAATAACCCTGACATCTTGCCACTCCTTTTTTGCGAAGCACACAAGCCGGTTTTATGTGGGTTCTGCATCAGTAAAGCATCTTTCCTAAACAAAGAAATAAAACAGCAATGCAGCCGCCTTGAATGGGTCTATAACCAATCACATCTGGCTTTCCAGAAGGATCCTTCCCCCGCCAACCGAAAAACCTTAGAGCAATCACGACTAGCTCTAGATCTTCTCCTCACGGACCAGGCAGAACTGTCACTTCGTAGATCTCGACACAAATATTATACAAAAGCAAACAAACCTGACATGTTTCTGGCCCTCTCACTCTGTAGACTTGATCAAATCACTAAACCCATCAGATTATGTATTTCTTCGGGGAACTTCACTAGCAACCCTGAACGCATCATACAAGTATTCCATAAACATCTTTTGCAACTCTACTCTCTCCCTGCACCTTTTGACCCATCCCACACAGAAACTCTCTTGGCACCCTTCTCTTTGCCGAAGCTCTCTGATCACCAACTAACAGCCCTAGAAAAACTAATTACTCCAACTGAAACCCTAAATGCCATCATAGATCTGAGAATACGCAAACGCCCAGGCCTTCGCAACCTATTATAAAAAATGTGCTCATCTTCTCTCTCCTATTTTAACAAATGCCTTTAATGCAATCCTCTCAGGTCATCATTTCAACCCCGAAACGGTAATGGCCAACATTTCCATGATCCTGAAACCAAACTCAGACGACACACAATGGTCACACTACAGACCAATCTCACTCCTCAACATAGACATTAAACTTTTGGCAAAAATTCTTTCCACCCACCTTAATTCTTGCATAGGATCCCTAATCCACAATGACCAAGTTGGTTTTATATCCCTATCCGACAAGCTGGGGACAACTTCGGCCCCCACTTTCTATCATGGATCTTTTCTCTATATCGCAAGTCTTCGGCTAGAATTCGGTACATGGGACATAGATCAGCCCAGTTCCCAATCTCCCGCGGAACTCGGCAAGGCTGCCCTCTATCTCCTTTACTCTTTGCCCTAGCCATAGAGCCACTAGCCCTTCTGATCAGAGCTAACCCGGATGTTCGTGGACTCGAGATAGGCGGTTCCCACCACAAATTATGCCTCTTCGGAGACGACGTCCTGCTCTTTCTCACCTCTCCCTTGACCTCCTTCCCTACTCTTCTTCGGCTTCTAGAGGAGTTCGGCTCTATCTCTGGCCTCCAGATTAACCCCTAGAAATCGGTTTTACTCAATATATCCCTTCCCCCACAAGACCAAGCCCACCTGAATAAGATCCTCCCATTCTCCTGGGCACAGTTTTCTATCTCATTTCTTGGCATAAAGTTTACCCCTAGCCTCTCGGATCTCTTTTCGGCTAACTAGGCGCCTATGCTGACCCACCTCACCGCCCTCATGACCAAATGGTCCTCCCTACCTCTGGTCTGGCTAGGCAGGATTTTCTGTCATGAAGATGTCGATACTTCCCAAAACACTATACCTATTCAGAGTTTCTCCCTATCCCGGTACCTGCACACTACCTCCGCATCCTACAGCGTCGTGTTTACTCCTATGTCTACATCAATCAAAACTTAAAGGCGGCCTCATCCTTCCAGATATCAGTAAATACTACCAAGCGGCACACCTTGCACAGGTGCCTAAATACCATGCTACCCATGAAATTCCCAAATGGGTCATACTTGAATCCATAGAATGTGACCCTCTCTCAACTGCTAAACTCCTATGGCTAAGGCCCGCTGACCGTTGCCCACTATTAAACCCTATCACATCCCACTACGTTTCTTTATGGAACAAACTGAAATTGCGATATTTCTTACAATTGCTGCATAACCCCCTGCTTTTCTACCACCACAACCTCCAGCTTTCCCTCCAGCGTAGTCCTCACCACTCTCCTTTAGACACTGGACTTTAGCCAATCTTCTACGCACCCATCACTTCCTAACAAGAAGAGTGTTTAAATCCTTTGCTTCTCTGCGTGAGACGCATGCCCCACCAGCCTCCTAAATATTTCGATATTTACAACTTAAACATTTTTACAATCCATACACCACAACAACCTACCCGGCTAACTCCATGACTCCCTTTGAACGAGCCTGCCACAAAGACCCACATAGGCGAGGCCTAATCTCCTGTATATACTCCCTCCTCTCAACCTCTGATCCTACGCCACTCCCCCCTTATACCCACAGATGGGAGACAGACCTTGGTCGCAGACTAGATCCTTCCGACTGGGACAATATCTGGTCCAACACCAAATCTTCTTCACAAAATGCAGTAGCTTTGAAACCAACTATAAGGTCCTAACCCGCTGGTACTTGGTCCCAGCAAGGATCGCTAAATTTACACCAAACTAATCTACTAATTGTTTTGGGGTTGTGCGGAGGCAGGAACCCAATACCACATCTGGTGGGCATGCCCGATAGCCAAAGCCTTCTGGGTCAACATTTTCTGCATCTTATCTAGACTTTTTATGAAAACTCTTATGCCTGACCCATTTATAGCCCTCCTTAACCAACACCCCCCCCCATATAACCAAATTGCAATTTAAACTTCTTCTGCAAGTCACTACAGCCGCTAAGCAAATTCTAGCTAAAGCATGGAAAATATCCCTCCCTAAGTATAACAGCAGTAAAGCACAAAGTCACACAGGCCATGATCCACGCCAAAGTGGAAGCCACAAACCTAGATGCCATCCCTAAGTTTCTTAGAATCTGGAACCCATGGGTGGAACACTTCCTCCCATCAAACTTCGATGATTCACTTCTCCTTCCCTGACACACCCTTACGCAATATTCAGACTTGACTCTTAGTTAACAACCAAAACGAAATAACATATTCCTTACGCTACCATCTAGGGAGGCACCCCCCCCCCGTCCTCCTACTCCTCCTCCAATACCCCCCGCTTTTCCCCTCCTTCCTCCCCCCCACCTGACCACCTACCCCCCTGACTTACCCTCATTGGTTTAAGTTCTTCCCCCCCCCCCACGCTCCCCCTGCCAGCTTCTGGGGAGCCCTATCCTACATTTACAATATATATCCATATCATATCCTCCATATCATATCCTCCTACACAAGTCTCACTTTTCCCTTCTCTCCCCAAAATGTTATGCTTATGTACCTATGTTCTTCTCCCCTTCTTTATAAGGACATAATTTCTACTGTAATTATTAGCTCTGTCAGTCAATATATGGAATGTTCACTTTTCTGTATTTTTTGTCTTCAACCCCTTGTTAAAAAATCAATAAAATTATTTGAACAAGAAAACCCTTCAGTGCACTGCAAGACACTTATGTCCTTCCTAACTCTGAATACTAGAAGTACATCCAGGAGACTCACTGCTTGACATGTAATCCCCATCTCCACCAATCTATCAACAACTTAGCATGGAAATACCTATTTAACGAGTCATCTACTCTGAAAGGCATTACACTTTTCTATGACCTTCTACAAGATAAAACTACCTGGAAAAAACTTTCTCCCCTTGAAAGATGGGAACTGGACATTGGACGTAAATTTGAGAATTCCCAATGGTTGGAAGCATTCAAGGCTAATTTCAAAGCTACCCGCTCTGCCAACCTTTGGGAACTCGCTCCTAAGATTAACCTCTGCTGGTACATCACCTGAGGTTACTGAGATGCCCTTTGACCTCACACCAGAACTTGCATTATTAAACATAGGAATAGATAAATTTCCATCTTTTCTATCAATGCCTTGTCTCAGATATTTTGTTGGCCACCAGACTAGTGATAGTCCGACTTGGGAAAATAATGGACTCCTTGACTAGAGCTGAAGTGAGCACTTTGGTACACTCCCATATCACTTTTGAACGTATGTTTGCATCCAGTGAAGGTAAGCTACAAGTTGCAGAGAACAACAGGTCTTACTGGCTGAACTTGTACTCACACTTTTATAAATGTACATATGAAATGGTTGTAAATGGTTATTTCCCTTTCCAATGGGACCTCGTTTTGCTTTTTTATATTCCATACCATCTTACTTAATGTATAGTTAATGTAATTTTGTAAATGAAACTGATGTACACTATACTAACAACGGTACTTTTGTTTTCCTTTTTCTCTTTTTACTGATGTGTGCCATACGTTGTCAAAAACTGCTTCTTCTCTCTATCTTTATCTCTCCTTTTATTACTTCTTTTTCTTTTTTTTGTCTCTGTATTTGTTAACCACAAAACATCAACAAAACCATCGAAAGTAAATCTTCTAGAGTGTTTTTCTTCTCTGCAGCTGAAGCTTTTAAATCTTCTGGTGATAGATGAGCCCGCCATTAAATGTAAAAGCTTTGTCACATCCTGATCATTAAACTGGGTTCTCTCCACTGTGAAATCTCTGGTGTGTGATAAGCTCTCTCTTGATTGTAAAAGTTTTGTCACATTCAGAACACTGATATGGCTTCTCTCTGGTATGAATCCTCTGGCGTGCTATAATATAGGACCTCTGTTTAAAAGCTTTGCCACATACTGAATATCGAAATAGCTTCTCTCCGGTGTGGAACCTCTGGTACATGATAAGATCTGACTTCTGTACAAAACCTGTGTCACATTCTAAACATCAATACGGCTTCTCTCCAGTGTCAACCCTCTGGTGTGCTGCAAGTCCTGACTTCTGTATAAAAGTTTTGTCACATTCAGAACACTGATGCGGTTTCTTGTCAGTTTGAATCCTCTGGTGTCTGGTAAGGTTTGACTTCACTGTGAAGGCTTTGTCACATTCGAATCACTGATATGGCTTCTTTCCCATGTGAGCCATCCGGTGTCTGATAAGGCTTTTCTTATGTGTAAAAACGTAGTCACATTCATCACAATGAAATGGTTTCTTTCCAGCGTGAATCATCTGCTGTATGATAAAGTTCGACTTCTGTGAAAAAACTTTATCACACTCTCCATTGTGAACATTCTGGTGTGTGATGCTTTTTGTATTCATTGTACAACCTTTGCCACATTCCAGACAAGAAGTAACCTCTGAAATGACTCATCTTATGTATACATGGGTTCGACTTTAATGTAAAGCCATTGTCACTTCCAGAACCCTGAAATGACTTCTCTCTTGCTGTCCTCTGAGGCTGGATCAATGTTGAAGAGGATCCAATATATTTACAATTTTTAAAACACAGATATGTCTTGTATCCTGTATGAATCCTCCAGTAAACTGTGATAAAAGACTTTCAGAGACCCATGTGGCTCATTTCAATTGTGACTTTGTTGTATTGATGAAGTCTAACATGACCGAAAACATCAGCAATGCACACGTGTGCTCTGACATGGAGAAGATCCCATGCTGGCCCTATGCTGGCTGTGTGTTCAGGATGGAGACAGAGAATCTGTTGGACCTTCTGGAAGCAGATCAAAAATGCCTTGTACAAATCATTAATTAAACCTCATCTGGAATATGCAGTTCAGTTTTGGGCACCAATTCACAAAATAGATATCGAGGAACTGGAGAAAGTGCAGGGAAGGGCAACCAATCTGATAAGAGGCATGGATGAGCTCAGCTATGATTAAAGATTAGCTGAACTTAATGTATTGTCTAAGGGGGAATATGATCACCATGTATAAAAACATAACTGGTCCATGTAGTGAACATTAAAGTTCTTGACTTTCAGGTCATTATAGAGGTCATGGGGGCACACTTTACATCTGGAGGAAAAAAGATTTAACCTTCACATACATATGCCAAAAGAACCTGCAATGGGACTTTATTGCAGCAATGAAAGATCATACATATATCCAAAGAGACATTATAAATAAAAAAATGTTAGCAGCTTTATTACATACACATTTTATATGTTAAATACATATTTTCTAAAAAAGACATTGCTCTGACAGTGTTCTGACAAAAGAACTCTTAATACAAAGTAAGAAACCACACAGAAAGGAGAAAAGATAACCCAACACCTTTCCATCATTCCACATTTTAGATCTTCCTTAGGGGGGATAAAGAACAGGAGACTTTCTAATAAATATATAAACAGTCATAAATGAATATACAAAAAAATAACACATACAGAAATGCTTCTTCACAGTAAGAGCTGTGAAAATGTAGAGGTGACTCTCAAGAACTGGTTCTGGCCAGCTCTGTTGTTTGTTTTAAAAAGGCATATATATATATATATATTCCCAGATGCACAAAATATAACTACTGGATATTAATAACTAGAGAGAATAGCCCAGGGGTAGTTGTACCAGGGAATATCCGTTTACATCCCAGGGGATCAGAAGGGAATATTTTCCCCCACTGGAGCAAATTGGATCATGCTTTATTGGCATTTTTTCCTTCATCTGGATCAGCTGTGGGTATAGTATTGTGTATATGGGGGTTTTCATTATCTTTTTTTTGGTTGAACTAGATGGACTAGTGTGTGTTTTTGTTTTTTTTAATTTCACTAACTATGAAATGTAAGTTACATAGTTACATAGTACTTAGTAATTGTTTATGTCATTACCATTTCCATTACCCATGTATATTGCATAGATTAAGATGCCCATCTAAGAGTTTTTTTTTAATTATAGCCACTTTCCAATGACATAATAAAATATGGAAGGTGTGAGTTACAGATTCTTACCGCAATAACAGTACAACCTTATGCAGTTTAAGGTAAACCACTTCTCCTCCAACTTCATTGAGTGGCTGCATTTCTTCTTAAGCTCCTGAGCCTTAATAATTTTCTGCCAATGATAGAACCACCATTGAGTTATTTGTATATTGCTATCATATCTCTTCAGCGGCTCTTCTCCTAGGAGAATACGTTTCTTGCTTGTAGTTAGTTTCCTTGTAGCTGAGGTCCTCCAATCACCTTGTCCTTCTCTAGACTTTCTCCAGTTCCAGAGCATCCTTTCTGACCAGAGCTGGTCAGCATACTCAAGTTGTGGCTGGACCAGAGTTTTGTAAAGTGGTAGAATTATAGTCTTTTCTCTTGAGTAGATACCTTTTTAATGCATGCTAATATTCTACTAGTTTTACTTGCTGCAGCTTGGTATTGCATGACATGGCTGAGCCTGTGATCTACTAGGACCCCCAAATCTTTTTCTGTCCTGGATTCCCCAAAGGTTGCTCCCCCCAACACGTAACATGCATTCATATTTTCAGCCCCGAAGTGCATTATTTTACATTTTCTACATTAAACCTCATTTGCTGTGTAGTTGCCAATAATTTTATTTTGTTGAGGTGTTTCTGTAAGGTTTCTATATTCTGCTGTGAAATTAGTGCCTTGCTTAGCTTTGAATCATCAGCAAACACTGAGATTGAGCTATTTATACAAACCTCTATATCATTTGTGAATAAATTAAATAGAACTGGTCCCAGGACTGAGTCTTGGGGTACCCCACTTACCACTCCAGACCATTCTGAGTACATGCTATGTATCACCACTCTTTGGACATGCCCTGGAAACCAGTTTTCTATCCAGGTACAGACACTATTGTCCATCCCAACAGACCACAATTTGTATATTAGGTGTTTATGTTGAACTGTATCAAATGCTTTTTCAAACTCCAGATGCACCACGTTCACAAACCTTCCTTTATCTAGATGACAGCTCACTTCCTCATAAAATGGACCGACAAGAATGATCTTTCTTAAATCCATGCTGAATACTACTGAATACTACTAACGATACTGTTTTCAAAAGCAAATTCTTGGAAAAAGTCCCTTATCATCCCCTCCGTTAGTTTACATACAAGTGATGTTAGACTAACTGGCCTGTAGTTAGCAGGAATAAATCTTCATCCTTTTTTAAATATTGGTACCATGTTGGCTTTTTCACAATCAGCTGGTACTATTCCAGTAACTATACTGTCCATAAAAAGTAGGAATATTGATCTGGCTGAGTTCTTTGAGTACTCTTGGATGTAAGCCATTTGGTCCTTGTGATTTATTTGCATTTTTAAGTTATTTTTTTACATTGGCTTCTGTTAGCCACAAGGGTACATTCTGTGTTGTGCTACTAATGATACAATCCTGATTACGAATCCTGTTATACTTAAAACATTTTGGGGATTTTTTACTCTCCTCTGCTATGTGTCTACCGTGTGTTTATTAAAGCTTCCATGACTATGCTCTTACATTTCTTACTGCATCCCTAATAGTTTTGGAATGTCTGCCTTGATCCCTCAGCCTTGTATTTTTTAAAGGCCATCTTTTCAACTTTTTATGTTAAAGTCTAGCCACCAAGGTTTAACCTTAGCTGTTTTATATTTGTTGCTCATTGGAATACTTCGGCTAATGCCATTATTTAATATGCTGTAAAATGTATCTAATTTATTACCTTGTAGTATAGTCTACTTGAACCAACCTAACAACCTAACCTGACATAAACATTTGAGAGATAATAGCCACAAGTATTGTGTAATGACTGGACAGTATGTATGCAGCTTTATTAGGCCACAATGTAAGAGAGTGAGGTGAAGATACCTTTATTTTGAAATAAACATTAGAGTGTACTATTTCATACTAATGTACGAGTGGTTAAGGAATATAGCTGCCCCAATTCCTAAAGACAATAGGCCTACTGACACTCAGTTTTCCCAACATACACATTGTTATGTTCTATAGCAAGTTAGCACAAGAAACTATAGATATCTGCAGAGGCAAGGATGAGTGTCTTGACTGGTGGGCAATTACATAAATGTGCAGAGGACAGTCTAGGAAGCAGACATGGTCAGTAAACAGACAAGCAATTTATCCAAGCAGCAGGTAAAGACAAGGTTCAGAAACAGGCAAAAGTATGGTCCAAGCAGCAGGCAAAGATGTATTCTGTAAACAGGCAAAGATTCAGTTCAGGTGGAAGGCAGAGATATGGTCAGTAAACAGGCAAAGGGGGCAGTGCACAGAAGATAACATGCAGGCAATAGCAGCTAGTCAAACATGTAGTAAACCTATCACAAAAACATCTTAAATGGCAATGTGGGAGTTAGAGGTTAGATTGACGAGTTATGTGTAGGCCTGGTCCACCCAATGCTTGAGAGTCCATAGAGATATCATGAATTTTTCTCTTGCTGAAACTAATTTTAAAGCTATGTCAGGATGCCCTTTAGTCCCCACTAGACTAGCAAAAATGTATTTGGCTACCTATTTCTTTGCTTTAGGGGTTGCAAACTTCAAGGAACCAAAATACATTTTTTGGAGGGAATATCCCAGAATCAGAAATTATTGGAATAGAATTTTGAATCACATATATTGTATAAAAATAGGGGAATATGAGCTCCCAATCACCTGCTATATACATTGCTCAGTGAGCCAATCTAAGGTATCCCTACACTCTCAAACTCTGATTTTCTTTATATTCCTAGCAACCAAAATTCCAGTTGTAATAGCACGAGAGTCTGGAATCCTTGGATTGAATATAATAATGCTTCTTAAATATTACTGTCAATACCAGTCATAGATATGGACAATGCCAATGTTTACTACTTTAGAACACTGCTCTCTAATACTCTTGTTTTTCTTCTTCCTCTAGTTGTTCTACTAGTTTACCCTATCTTTATTATTTAATACAGTTTAATCTCTCTCAGGAAGAAAGTTTTGAACATTAATTAAAAGTCATACAGTATGCATATCATGGAAATGAACAATTATTGCTATGTCAGTACATTGTGTCATCACTGAATGTTATTAAAGTGGAAGTAAACACCCTTGGTTGATTTTTACCTATTGGTAAGCTTATAATAAGGCTTACATATAGGTACAGTAAATATCTCCTAAACTTGCACCATGTAGAAGATATTTATTTTAGAAGCAGCCAGTGACATCACCAGCACATGCTCTCTGAAGGAATGGCATACCCATGCCGTTCCTTCAGAACCCTGAACAGTGACTCCCGTGCAAATGCGCAGAAGTGACGTCATCATGGCTATTCATACCACTGAAGCCCGCGAACCAGAAAGGAAGTGTCAGGAATCCCCGCTGCGACGGGCTCGGCACAGGTGCAGTGCACCGCCCCGTGTCAGAATGCGGGCACTGAGACCTGGCCGTCTGCGGCGAGGGAGTTCGCACATGCGCAGTAGGGACCGCGGG